AAGCAGTCTGGTCCTTATTTGTGTGTGCTATGTCCATATTCTCAGGAGAAAGTCAAAAATGTGGCAAGAGTGTCTTGTTTGGGGACCTCAGACCTTAGGAATTCTGTTCTTTGCAGATGATGTGGTGCTGTAGGCTTAATCAAACCATGACCTTCAGAACTCACTGGGGAGGTTTGCAGTCAAGTGTGAAATGGGCAGGATAAGAGTTAGCAGAGGTGCTAAGGGCATTGAAAACAGTTGATGGCTCCCTCCAGATACCCCAAGGAAAGGAGTTCGAAGTATCTCAGGGTTTTGTTCACAAGTGATAGGTGGATAGGCTTCAGCAATAATGCAGGCATTTTACTGAGAGTGGTGCTGAGCCAGAAGGCAAACCTCTCGATTTACCAGTTGATGCGTACCAACCACCTCAACTGGCACCTTTCGATGTGATGGAGCAGTGACTCTCCACTGAGGTTCCTCTGGATGTCTGTGCTCCTTAGTTTATCTCTATGGGTGGGCCCAGCCACTCTATAGAGGAAACTCATTTGGGATGTTTGTATCTGGGATCTCATTCTTTCAATCTCTTTTCTGCTCTCTTATGAATATTCCCTTAACAGTAGGTTATTGAAAAAATATATGATATCTATTGTCTTCAGCTGATTTGGAAATTTACATAACATTTGGATAGCGATTGTTATGAGCTAATATAGAAATTTGGATTGTTTTATGTGCACAACTGCACACACAGTGGTCATTGCAGCTTAAAATGGTACATGCAGTGACTTTTGTGGTTGTGTGTTTGTCAGACATGCAGAAATGCAACCTTTCAGTAGGTGAACGTGATAAGCAGCTTAGGCTGACAGCCAGGTAAACAGTCCCCATTCATTTTCCAAGATGGTAACACTCACTGATATGTAATGTAGGCACTGTGAGACCTCATGTATGACACATGCAGGATTATACTGTTCAAACTGTGTTTGACCCTGTCTGTCAGCCTGTCCTAAAATTTGCGTCTGCATTTGCTTCAGTAAAATGTAAAAGAATGTGTTTGTGTGTATTTATCAGTTGTATTTGAACAGTAGTATTGTCCAGAATTTAGTGAATGTGATTCACATCACCAGGAAACTTGCACACTTGATTGGATCATTAAAGATTTATGCCCAAACAGTCCCAACTCAAGGTGTCCTTACTAACTTTTTCAACCATATTACATGGCCTTTATGTAATATGGCCAACAGACATAGTTTGCACAGTTGTTATGGAGATGGATATGTTGAAATTAGAGTGCTGTAGTTGTTATGGTTTAATCCATAGCACTGAAATTCACCCTCTGTCAGTAACATTCTGGGAAATATAGTGAAGCAGAAAGGAAGCAGAAGCAAGAAGGCCTGTACTTTCATCTTTAAATAACTCATCTTTTAAAGGAATACTTCACCTAAAATCTATCTCAGATAGATTGCTGCCTTTGCTCAGCTTCTTTTGTGACATCAAAGGCATGTGGCCTTTCTCTGCTGCCAGCTGGTTCTGGTTTGAACATGACGTCAAAATTCAAAGAGCTAGTTGAAGGGCCATTTTCAGAGAACACACGCAAAAACACATACTATCTATGCACTTTTGCCAAGTAAGCTGTAGTTCTACCCCAGCTCTGTGGTGTGTGGTTATAAGTCAGTCAGTGAGGCCTTAGATGTCTAAGAGCAGCAAACCAGCTGTGGTACAACAGCTGCCACCCTCAATGTTCATTTACATACTAAAAATAAGTCTAGCCACTATGACATGCATGCACAGTGTCTAGCCCAGTAAAATAACATGCCCCTGGAAAAATTTAGTCTCAGTCCTTTTACCTTTTTACTTTTTTAACACACATTTTATTGTGTGTACATACAATTTAGGCTTCAATTAAAATTCAATTCAATTCAGTTTTATTTTTATTTGTATAGCACCAATTCATAACAAACGTTATCTTCTGACACTTTTGAAATAGAGCAGGTCTAGACCATACTACTTATAAAATGATTTACAGAGACCCAACAGTACCCACCATGAGCAACCACTTCCAGTATACTATACGGTTATGTTCTGATCATGAAAGTTCAGCCTTGAAATAATGCTGTCAGTGATCATAATCCATAAAGGCAATACCCTTTTCCATTACAATATCGCTGGGAAAACATTTCAGAATATAAATGCAATTTCTAGAAGAGGCCAAGGGTCATCGACCAGGAGCGGACAGTCAGAGAAAGATATATTCTACTATGTAATATTATTTAATGAGTGCTAGATACTTTTATCTGCAGTACAGTAAGATGATTTTATCACTATTAAATTTCACTCATAGTATACTCGTAGTAGTATTTGTTGTTAGCTGCAGCTTCTTGCAAAGGTTCATGGCACATGTCCTTGGCAACAGGTGGAATCAGTTCTTCGCTGTATTGCTAAGGCTAAGAAGCCATTAAGTGTGACGCTCTCAGAGCAGCTGCATTTGTAGCTTGTCTTCACATATCACACACTTGGAGCATGTGATATGGGTGGTAATAATAACCATATTTCAGGTATGACGCATCATAGTTCTAATTGAAGGAAGCTTTCTTTTTTTGCAGTCTCCCCCTCTGCAGTCTCTTATCATCTTCTATAGGTCTTTTATCTCCCTTCCTTCTTCTGAAGATACTGTGTGTGTGTGTGTGTGTGTGTGTGTGTGTGTGTGTGTGTGTGTGTGTGTGTCATTGTGGAGCACAAAGAAACTGTGCCAAGTTTAATGTGATTACTGCACAAATTGCCTACAACATTATATGTTTATTAATTCAGTTTTTTTAATGTATTTATTTAATATTGGCAGAATTATATCATTTCCTCACAGCCTGGTAGCAAATGCTTTGGGCCCAGTGCTGGTCTGTGGCTTTTTGTTTTAAAAGAAATAAAGGAAATATTTGACATCACTAGTGCTGGTTGGTGTACCATCGGTATACTGACATTATAAAGAAAGAAGTCATTAATGAAAGATTGACACTGCTCCTTTCCCTCTCTAAATCTGAGCCACATTCAAGCCGCCGCTCGACTCTCTGCTCACATGTGGTTTGATTTAGCGCTATGGAAAAAATAGGAAACCCTGAGAAGCAAAAAAGAGCTATATCCTTTAAGTGTATCTCTCGGAAGCTTTTATCAAAGCTACAGTGCACTTTGGATCTAAATACTGCCTGAGTCCTTTCAATCTCCTTTATCTGGATCACATGATGCAACCCTCTAAAAATGTTACAATATTTAAGTAAGAAAAACTCTGATCATAAAGTTGTTTATGAATATGTATGTATGAATGCCAATATGGTTATATTTGGCATACAGCACACAGTAAAGGTTCAGCACAGAGGAATAAACATGTCACAATTAATTTTTGGTACCTATTTTCTGTATTTGTGTAGAAAATAATAATTCATTAATTATAAAACCTAACTAACAGTAATGTGTCAGAAAGCTTACATTACTTTCTCTAACTAACTGATGTCAGTGAACCTCATATGTCCAACTTATTGTTTGAATTAGATTTTTCTTTTTAAAAAGCATTGTTCTGGAGTGTTTTCCAACCCTGAGAAGCATCTTATCCTTCAGCAGTGTAACCAGCATAGCTGGTACGCCTAGAAAGTGGTGTTCACAGCCTAAAAACACCATCTTGTGGATACGTCAAATTTGAGGATGGAGGTTGTTTACAGCTGACCTTATTGTCCTGCCATCGGAGTTGTTATACTGTATCCTTTCTTATAAGACATTCCTCGTCAGTATTTTATAAAAAAAGTCAGAACACCTGGAAAGGACCAGAATAATGGTGAGTTATAATTTTTTTTATTATGTATAATTTCATGTGTCAAAAACCCTTAAGATACATTCTGTCCATTTTTAATGCAGTGTAACAAAAGTCAACAAAAGCTATTTTGGCAACTTTTAAACAATAAAATCATTTTCAGACTGAAACCAAAAAGTTACCCTTTAAGTTAGTTAAATGCTGATGATTCTTGGAGAAAATTAGCATACTACCAAAATGAAAAATATTGACAAGAACGGCAACACAACACCTGGAACAAATCATGAAAACACAAAGGGCCAGCATGCCAACATTTATACAAACATAAGCTAATACTTACAGAACATCAATGCCTGTAGACTTTTGTGTTTATCGGAATGAGTGCAGGATTAATCAAATTAAATCAAAGAGGCTATGTTCAAACAGCCAGAGTTTGAGAACTAAACTGGCTGAGAATTTATGAGCACTGACAGGTGAATTGAATAACACCGATTAGCTCATTATCATGGCACGTCAGTGGGTGAGATATATTAGGCAGCATGTAAATATTTTATCCTCATATTGACGTGTTAGAATCAGGAAAAATGGGCAGCTTAAGGATTAGAGTGACTTTGACAAGGGCTAAATTGTGATGGCTAGATGACTGGGTCAGAGCATCTCCAAAACTGCAGCCCTTTGGGGTGTTCCCTGTCTGCAGTGGTCATTACCTATTAAAAGTAGTCCAAGGGAGGGAAATGGGTGAACCAACGACAGGGTAATGGGCAGCCAAGACTCACTGATGCACGTGGGGAGCGAAGGCTGGCCTGTGTGGTCTGATCCAACCGATGAGCTACTGTAGATCAAATTGCTGAAAAAGTTAATGTTGGTTCTGATAGAAAGGTGCCCAGACACACTGTGCATTGCAGTTTGTTGCGTATGGGACTGCATAACATTATTAACATTGTTATGGCTGATCGGTGTACATCAAAGGTGAGTATTTTCAGTTACCAGACAAAAAAAGAATAACCAGAATGATTAGATGACATAAAAGAATGAAAATCTGTGACAAAAATTAGACCAAAATTTAAAAAAAATGTTCCTAAAGCTAATTTACATTTTTGTCAAAATACTAGCTCTAAATCATAATGAGGAGCAAAAATAGGCAGTGGTTTACTAACTGGTGGTTCATTCAAATCTCAGTCATGACGAAAAGAATGGCCTGCAATGACACTAATGAATCAGTAAGACGGAGTATGACAGAAAAATATTTATTGGTTAAAATAGCTTTTCACAGATACAATGAATGAGTTTTTGTTTTGCTATCATGTACTTACACTGTACAACAGTGGATCCCCGTGGATTAGCATTGTCTGAATAACTGCAACAAATGACTATTGCTCCTGTTCTGTCAATAGAAGACATCTCTCACAGAACCAGTCAATGAAACCAGTGGTCAGATGTCTGATATTATGCACTGTAGTGATTTCTGTGTTATAAAATAAATTAGTAACATGTGTATCAGAAAACTCTTACCACTTACTGTGTGCATCATATTACATCTCTATCACCAAGATTTCAGTGCAAATGCCATTGTAGCTGAAAGATCCATGACACATGTAAGTACCAACAAAATGAAGCAGAAATGAAAATGTAAAATATTACAATACAAATAAAAAACAGCCAAATTGAGATTTATCCTACTGTTTGGTGGTTGTGGAGCTACATTGGCATATGTTTTAATATAACTGACTAAATATTAGTCCAGATCTATAAGCAGTCCTCTAAAAACTCACATTTTTACCGTGACACAGTTAGCTTGATTTACAGTACTACATATCTATTTCTCAAGCAGCGGTTACATCGAGTCTAAAAAACAAAACAATACCTACAGAACAAAAAATCATTCATTCAAATATGTAAAATATCATTCTAATGTATTTCTCTACCGCCCACAAAAGATGAAAAAAGAGAACACACTTGTCGAATTAATGACAGCAATAAAGCCTTTCTTTATGGAACCCATATAAAAGCAGATTAGTTTGCTGTCACAACAGTCTGAACCCTCAGCCCTGCCACTCTCACACACACCCCAAAAAGACAAATAAAACCACAAATTATAACATAATACCACATAAATTCAAAGTTTATCAGGAAACAACAGTCCACACTGACTGAAAATGTTAATTAAGAAAAATAATGTTTTACCGTCAATAAATATACAGTTTGCGGGGAGTTCATGTAAAATGTTTTCTGTGAGTAAGAGATACTGAATAGTAGTCAATTTTTCCTCTTAGTGGTAGGCGTCCTACAGATGACAAGCCATAAATATTCACTACAACTGATATTGGGCATTTTCAATATCATTTGTGCCAAGTGGTAGTTGCTTCGTCTATACGACGGCCCTGGACAATAACTCCTGTCTTTTTTGTGACCGAGACGAAAATGTGATTTTTATTTTGGAAGTGGGATAGTCTGAGTGAAAACAGTAAAATATGCATTAGTGATGTTGATTCACACATAAAGTCATTGTTCATTCGTTCAAACAACAAATATAATTTATGTGTTCCTGACAAGAGCTTGTTGCCTTCATACTTGTAATGACTGTCCTCTCCCAGGCCCTGCCCCTGGTACTGACAAACATCTTGGGTGAGACAATCAATGATGATACCCAATTCCTCAAACCATTTTCTTTTAGCAGTGTGTATGCAAATCTGCGCTTATAAAGTGGTAAAGACAAATGTTTTATCTGGTCAGATTTTTAAAAGATACAACTAAGAAGGCATGCTATTGTAAAGGTATCACCATAGCTTCAGATCTGACAGTAGTAAATAAAATGCTGTCACAAATAGCAAGAGTAGAAGAAACTAAGCTGAAACTGAACTGAAAATAAGAAGAAAACAGACTTTTCCTCTGATATAAGCTTGGCTAATTAAAATCATTAGTTATTAGTTAAACCATAACCATCAATTAGTCACTTTCTCTCCTGTTATTGAACTGGTTTAAAGGAGCAATGCTTGCACCTTTCTGTGGCTGTTCTGTTTTCCTAAAGCTGGGTTAGCTCCACTAAAAAGTTATAATAAACATAATTGAAAAAATATTTGCAACTTGTACCTCTGACAGTGTTATATAACAAGTTTTAATGTCTCTTTGACTGACTAAGAGTCTCTATGCTGAAGACAGTGATTGAGGTTAGCCCCACTTCTTATATGAATCGAGTGTTTCTGGACTCTATGGAAACACTTGCAGCCACACATCCCATTAGCTAGGCAGCAGTGGGTGAAGGAACCAGGGCTTACACGTCCAGGTCATCGGGCCTGGCTCGGCTGCTCATTCGGCTGCTGGCCCGGCTACAGGGCCTGGCATCCATCAGTGCCAGTGGCTGCAGCTCATGTCCTGCTGATGAGGAGAGTTTCTTATGCTCGTGGGTATCATCTGGGAAGTCAAAGGCTTGTGCGTGGGAGTTTGAAATAGTGCTTCCTCCACCATTTTGGCCGAGGCGGTTCTGCTCTGTGGAGTAGTTGGCCCAGTTCTGCTCATTGGCCTGCTTATTATAATTACGGCATGAGCCAGTTCCCCGCTCCCCTGTGGCTAGTTTATAGCCTGGGGGTGACATGGGAGAGAGTGGGGCAGTTGGAGAGGAGCATCCATTATAGTAGGCATACTTGGCAGTGGATAGTTCTTTAGGGGTGGGGCTCAAGGTGCCTCCACTGGGATACAGTGTGGGCGGCTGTTTGCCCTTCACACGATCTTTGATCCTCTTAAAAAGCACATAGAAAAGCTCAATCACATTGAGCAACAGGGACACCAGTGAGACCACCAGCATGAAGATGATAAAGACGGTCTTCTCTGTGGGACGGGACAGGAAACAGTCCACTCTATGTGGGCATGGGGACCTCTCACAGGTGTAGATGGCAGACAGGCTAAAGCCATATATGTACCACTGGATAACCAGGAACCCCACCTCAAACAGAGACTTGAAGAAAATGCTAACTACATAGGTTCTGAGAAGGGCCCCCTTCATCTTTACTTTGCCATGCTCCTCTATGCCATACTTAAGCTTTTTCATCTCAATTTTCTTCAGTGGGATGTCAACATCACCTCCATCATTTTGCACAGCTTTGAGCTCCTCCTCTTTCTTGTTGAATTTCTGTTCCTTCCTGTGCAGATAGAAGACATGAGCCAGGTAGAGGAGTGTGGGCGTCGACACAAAGATGATCTGGAGGACCCAGAAGCGAACGTGGGAGATGGGGAAGGATTTGTCGTAGCAGACATTCTCACAACCGGGCTGCTGGGTGTTGCATTTGAAGGCAGACTGCTCGTCTCCCCAGGCTGATTCCACCGCAGTACCCAGAACAAGAATCCGGAATATGAAGAGGACCGACAGCCAGACCTTCCCCCCAGCAGTAGAGTAAGCCTGGACCTTGTCCAACAGACGACCCAGAGCACTCCAGTCACCCATTATCAGGGAGTGTTAGCTGATGAAAAAAGGACAATGATGAACCGACAATAACATACAGATAGCATCAACTATTAAAAATATTTTTAAAAGATACACATGTGGAGCCCGCCCAATACAAATGTTGACCTATCACAGACATATCGGTATCGGTATTAATATGCAACGATATGAATACTGTTTTTTTCCGGTATATAATGCATAAAAAAAGTCTTGTGGTCAGATATTGGTATAACAGCCAAATCTATCCAGCAGAGATTTACAATACTTTGGCAAGCAACACAGAGTAAGAGAGAAGAACTCACTCTCAGCAATGTCAACTAGAATTGGTTAAATTATTTAACATGTTAAAGAATAGTTAAATGTGCACAGCACACATAGAGAAGGAAAGTTCACTATATCAGTAATTGTGAATTTCGGTATCAGCCTCAAAAATCTGCAACGGTCAGGTACTACACAAGTGCTCCAGACAGTACTTTTGATTTTAAGGGAAGATTAACGTCCTCTGCATTCTTAACGTTTGGCATTTTGACAGCATCATGTGATCAAACAGTATCATTATTGGAGGAGACAAAACAAGATCTTTCATGACGTAAAACACAAGCTAATCCAATTACTGAAAGCAGGACAGAAAACACATTTTGGGCAGTTTATGTAACAGTGGCCTTTAAATCCAGGAAAGGATGTGAAAATATGAAAGTAATCTGATTCATTAGGTAAACAAATTCTTTAACAAACTACAATAAGTATTCCTCGAAAATAGAAAGTGCCTTAGATCAAACTGATAGAGCAAGATTGAGAAACCAATTAAACTCTTCACATCTGCAAGATGATCAAATCATAGACCCAATTCTTCGTTAACCCCTCCAATAAAGAATGATGGGGTGGGAATATTAATAATCAAATGTTTTATCCATTATTGTGAATATCTAAAGCCATTCTGCTAAACTAAACATCTTAAATAACTTGCGTGCTTTCTTGGGGTAAATCAGACTTCTCTCAGTCTCAAACAGTTTTTTTCAATGGTCCTGCAAAAAAACCCATGTTCAGCAGGGGTGGAAAGTAACTAGGTACTGGCTACATTTGTACTTTTCACTCCTTAAATTTAAAAAATAAAAAACCCTATAAAAAATAGGGTTGTTACTTTAATTTGATGCATTTAAGTAGAATTGTCAATTTAAAAAAAAAGGTTTTGCATCACTGCAAGCCTTCCAACATCAAGACCTGTGCATATCACGAATGACATAGAAAACGACATAAAGGCGCAACAACAAGACTCTACTCTATTTGAAGTTAGAAACGTTCTTCAGAGAACCCAAGAGAGTACTTTTTACATTTATACTTTGAGTACATTTTGGAGCCTGTACTTTTTCATTTTTACTTGAGTAAAGAAGTTCAATCAATATATCTACTTCTATCTGAGTCTTCTTTTTTTTAATACAAGAATCTTTACTTCTACTTGAGTAAAGAATATGTGTATTTCTGCTACATCTGTATTTCACATGATGGGATTCTATTTAGAGTACTTTTCTGCTGCATTTTGAAACCTCATTCTTGGAGCTTCAAACTATGTCAGTTGACACCTACTAACCATTGCACAGATTTTAGGCCAGTTTTAAAAAATGTATGTCAAAGTTTATACACATTACTTGCATTAGACTCTCTGCTTCTACTGTGCTGTTGTGTGATCTGCTTCAGCTAAGTTTTAAAGCCTCAGTCCTGCAATTCCTCAATAGTTGTTCTTGTTAGAGCCCGACCAATGTATCGGTCAGCAGATATTATCAGCGGATATTGGCCTATCATAGACATCATAGACTCAATATCATAATGTCTATGTTATCTGATATATATTGACATACAATTCTTTTTGTTCCAGTATGTACAGCAAAAAGGTTTGTAGCTTTTACAGTACTGATGTTTAGCTATTTATTTTATTTTTATTTATTTTCTCAGTGTGCATTTCTAGAATTGGTTCACAATGTAGCCTATATGTTAAATGATGGGTCGTTAGCAGACCGAGTTGGGCACAAATGCAAGAAGGCTACTGTTGTAGAGAATCTACCGAATGCTGTTGTCTTAGCCAAGATGTTCAGATTGAGGCTACTGGAACAAAGCCACCATGCTGCTTGATTGTACAATCAATCTGATAAGTGTGTGCAGCAGAATAGACACTGTAGATAAATCTTCTCATTGAGGCCTGTGGTGAGCTTCTCTTCTCAGTGCTTACAGAGAAAGGTTCTGTAGATACACAGAAGATTTTATTTGGGGAAATCAGCCCATTGCTACATTTACTTAGTAATAACTGCTAGCCATTGTGACAATTTAGTCCAAAACTTCAGTAGACTGGCTTTCCAAGGTGTCATGCTGAAAAACTGAGTTTAATTTTACATATTTACTGTTAATTTTACATATACTATTATTAGTGGTTAATGATGTCTGGGCTCATGCCCTGAAAATCAGTGCCCAGCCGTGGTCAAAATGAACCATGACTGTCTGCTGTAGAAACAGTGTAGTTGAGAGTCTTGAAGCTCCAGAACAATAAAAAAAATACTGCTGAGCTATTCAGGCCAGGTATACATTTTTGTGACTTGACAAAACACACTGTACAACAAATTCTAAATCACAGCAGCAACAAGGAGTTTTAATTATGTGTTGATTCTGTTAGTCCCAAAAGGAGTAATGTTTCTACCACCTCATTTCATTGTTTTCAAGGGGAATCCAATGTGTTAGCAGGCATTAAGAATAACTATATAGAAGTAGCCAATGTTCTTGCTGATGGTCTTGTTTGTTTATGTAGGTCATATAGAGGCATCAGTATTAAACTGAGAAGTTAAGTTAAGACAAATGTCAAAGAAGAGGTAATTTCTAGGTCTTTAAGTGGGTCCTCAGCAGTATGATTTTTAGTATAATTTAATGACATACCACAGATTTGAATACAGGTTCCAATTTCATCTTCATAGCTCAACTATTCCATATGAAATGTATAATCTAATCAGGAGTCTGGTAGAGGTTTGTAACTCCAAAGTTCCTTTTCCCACTCTGAAGTGAAAATAACTAAGAAGAGCTGTGAGAAGGTTGGAGCTTATGCCTTGGCATTGACATTTTACTAAATAGAGCAAGGAGAACCTTGGCCGTGTCTTCATAAAGTTCATGTGGATAAGTAGGAACCTCCAGTCAAATCCACATGGTGCCAAACATGTGCTCTCACTTATCTTATAATAAATCACATACATTGTATCCTCGGACCTGGACAATATACATATTGCATTGTCATTCTTTGGAAATCAATCTTCATCCTTCAGTAGAGTCAAAAATAAAGAATAAAAAAGGCAATAATAAGCAGTTGAGGAAAATAAGAATCTTTTTTGTTGTTATAAGATGCCCCGCCACTTTCTACATGAGTGAGTTTGTCTGGTTAAAATGACCAAGACAGAGCAGAACAATAGACTCCAACACAATGACTGTCTTAGCAGACCTCTCCAACTCAATAGTTTTTAATGAGAAATTCAGTTGACAAACCAGCCAGATTATTGAACCTTACAGTTTTAAAATTTCCTTGATTCGTGATACTTCTGAACAGTTTTTAAAGCAAAGTAGTCACCCTGTTCTGAGAGAAGCAGGAGTCTCTAAATAGCCTATAAAACTGAACTTTCCTCAAGTTGAACGATTAGTGGCCCAGCCTGAAGCGCAACAGCAACAGGGCGCTTTGAATGGAAAAATAATAATTCGGTCAGGACACCTCATTTGAAAAATGAAGCAAAATGTATCCAATAAATAAATAAATAAAACATTATTTCAGGTTTATCACATTTTATTCCCTGTAGATTTGAGCCTTAATTTGTGACCGCTGAAGGACCTTTTATCTGAGTGGGAAAAAAATAAACCAGACAGAGCGGGTTTTCTCAAACTTTATAAGTTGCTCTGCATGTTGTTTGCAGCGCATCGGACTTTTCCGACTGCTCTAACGGGAGTACTGAGGGGGGAAACGTTTATTCACACGCGTCCTTTTACAAATCATAGAGAAGAGAGCTTCAACTTACCTGGGAAGTTACAAAGAGACAGGAGCGGGCCCAGAGGGACTTTCTGCGCCACTTGTAGAAATCACTGTCTGGTAAAGTTGAAATCCAAGTTTGGGACCAGGAGGGAAACTGAGAGGAACTTGTCAAACCTTCCTTATAAGAGTCCCGTCAGAGGAGTTAACAGTCACCTGATCTCTACGTCAAGACCGAAGCCCACTGTCTGCTGGGAGGACAGAGAAAATACTCTTAAAGAAAGAGCCATGGTGTGGAGCAAATAGTCCAAATGAACTTAAAAAGAGGATAATCTTAAACATGCAGCGTTAATACATAAAATACAGGACAGTCCACAGTAGCGTACTATTACGATATACTGTGATCAGTGGAGGAATGTTAAGTTTACTCAAGCCTTGCCATCAAGTTGAAGTACTTTTACTTTACTTGAGTATTTATATTTTAGGGTAGGCTACATTATAGTTCCATTACATTTATCTGACATCTGGAGTTATGATGCGCTGTGACCGAAAGTAGACAATAGTAGTTCAGTTCCACCTCAGCCGCTGAAACATTAACAGCTTACAATTAAATCCAGCTGTTATAATATATACAATACACTAACCCTCATCACATTCTGAAATTCTGTATATTAAGTACTTTTCCTGATGTAGCCTACCGTAAGCGTATTGCTTTTGATTAGGGATGCATGCTTCTCATGGCCGATACCGATAAGATATATGATCATTTCACATTTTTGTATTTTAAAAACTAGTTTATAATTTTTGGCTATGATTTCATTATCAGAATGCATTTATAACAATATGAATTTTACATTTTCAACCAATAATTTATCGTTACCGGTATAGATCACACATCCCTTTTTAAGTTATTCAACTTTAATTGAAATGAGAACTAAAAACACCTGAAGGATGTAAAGACTTGTCTAGTGTAAAGTGTCACACTTTTGATTTTGTGCAGTGACAGGCCTTGGTCTTTCCTGGAAAAAAAAATGCACCAAACATGCACATTTATCTCTTGTTTCAAGAGGACAGTACACTGTCCATATTAACAATGAATGCACCACAAAGCAATTATAATGATGCTCTAGTTTATGATACTGTAACTCAACCACAATGCATCATAAGAGCAAATAAATAGTTTCTACTTTGGCTTAAAGCTTTCTTATGCTGGCTCATCCATACAATGGTATTATTTTTGCATTATTAAGCACACTGGGCCATGTTTGAGTGCTTTCTTTTTATTCTTTCCAGTGCTCCTTTGTTTTGGCCTATGACAAAAAGCCTAGTGTCTTAGAAGGTATTATGTCTTCTTCTTATTATATCTTATATCTCTATAATGATTATATATATTATTATGAATATAAATAAAATGTTTTAAAACCTGTTGATTGTGAACCTATCTTTTTGTGTATTTTGTAACTTTCCATTAAACCTTATGGGTCTCCCATAGTGACCTTGCACAGTGCACAGCACCACCTAGTGATACAAATAATTAAATGCAGGTGTATGTATGGGAACAAGCCACAGTGTACATGTTGTAGTATTACCTAGTATTGCACAGTTTAACAGGGTAATTGGCCTAAGGGGAATTAGAGCACCAGCCTCTCTCTCTCTCTCTCTCTCTCTCTCTCTCTCTCTCTCTCTCTCTCTCTCTCTCTCTCTCTCTCTCTCTCCCCTCTCTCTCTCTCAATTCAAATGGCTTTATTGGCATGACGTAACACTGTACATATTGCCAAAGCAAGCGTTTGGAATTAAAAATAATAATAATAACAATAAAGGAAAACAATATTTACAATAAATTAATAATAATCAATACTCTATACTGTTGGTAATACTCTCTCTCTCTCTCTCTCTCTCTCTCTCTCTCTCTCTCTCTCTCATTCTATTTAATTCAAATCAAAGAGCTTTATTGGCTTGAACAAAAACATGTTGTTGCCAAAGCAATTAACACTAATAACATACTTCTACTACTATAGGAGCTGTTGTCCCTTCACCAAGGAGAACTTCTTCTGGGGTTAAAATATTGGTTATTTCCCTATTGTGGACAGTGAAGAGAACTTAACTCACAATGGAGGAGGAAGTCCATCTCTGTTTTGTTTTCTCCTGCAGTGAGCACAGACACGCTCCTCTCTGGGCAGCCATGTCAGTCTGTGTCTTTCAGTTTCTATGGCTAGTTGGTGGTCACTGAGCCTGTATTTGGGCAGGATTATTCTTTGTTTTATATCTTTGACACAGTGGAGATATTCAGCCAATTTATATTCTGTTTATGGTCAAATAACAATTTAGCCCACTGTGGGTTTTTGTTTAATTTATCCAGTGTTCTAAATATAGATCTTTTGATTGATTAATAATTAATTGTGATTGTGTTGTGTGATTGTGTTGTGTTGTTGTTTTAAATATTTTCTTCAAGTATGGACAGAAGGAACAAATAGAGACCAAAAACAGTTTCAGTGCACCTACAGGCCTGTGAATGTTGTGTTGTATAGACTCTCTTGCAAACATTGTGAACCTATCCATTAATATACAGCTAGTGCTTAATCATGTTCTGCAGGCGCCATCTTATGATCCTTTTTTTCTGCCTGGAAATACTTCCCTATAGTCCTATATATAGGTATGGCAACAGAACAAAAAGCTAATATAACAATGGCAGATTGTAGAAGAAAAGAAAACACTGAATTTTTCAAAAAGAACAACTATTAAGTATGCATTAAGTATGAATTAAATGTTCCTAAGATATCAGGAAAACTCGTCCAAATCGCTCATTTTACACAAGCTTCCTGCAGTTCTCGCATTAACAGTTTGAGTTACATGTACAGTTTATCAGCTGTACTGCACTGTTATTGTTATTGCATTGAATATAATATGAAATATCCATAAAATATGTCACCTTTAGTCAGGGGTTGTCACTTAACTCAATGATACACAAACAGGACGGTCGTAACTCGTAACTGGACTAAAGGCTACAATGTTGTATTGCTGCCCTCTAGTGTTACATTTTGTTATGAAGCCCAATATTCTACAAATATTCCATCTGCATCTTTATTTCAGTCGAGTTATCCAGGTTGAGTAAAAACACTTTCTCCAACTGCTGCCAGGTCTCTAAACAGCTTCCTCCTATGAAGTGAGTTACTCTGGCACTGGATAAGGAAGTATTTCATGGTCACTGAGTCTCCACACTTGTCATCTGGGTGTTTCCCAATCATAGCCAGCCCACTCCTAAACCCACAGTGCCCAAGCCCCGACCTGGTTATGACAACTGAATGTTTTCTTTTGAAGGCAGAGTTTCTCTTTGCTTTTTCCACAGTTTTCTGTAAGACATCCCTTTCCTTTTTTTCCTCCATTTATTCTGACACATTTTTTGACTGACTTGTTTATGATTCATGATAATGTATTCTGACAGTCAACATTGTAGGGCAACTAATACTTATGAGCCGTGTTCTTTGCCAAGTAATATACTTCCTTGTTTCCCTCTACACCCATGTGGGTTGGTACCCTAATACAACCTACCTTACACCCTGCCTTGTTATAATGTTTGATGTAAATTAATGTTTTACATGAAATAAATCTTTTTCTTTTGTTATTATCTATATGCATAGCTTAGCTTCAGGTCCTGGGATTATCCAAGATCGAACAATTGACCAACAGACTGGAGAGAACATATTTTTAGTAATACCACCTATTTCAACTTGCAGTCTACTGTGTAACATTAAAAGTGTTACTATACTTATTTGCGAGTCCTGACAACTTAATTTGCTATTTTGTTATTTTATGGGATGGCACACAACACAAGGTTGTACAAAGACATAAAAGTTTGCAATCGCTTCATGCTACACTCATAGAAAAACATAAGTACATTTATAGCAGAATACAACAACATATAAAATAAATCAAATCAAATCAAACCACACATACAGTGTATATACATACTGCACAACACATACTAATATGGTGTACGTAACTCTTCCAAGTTCAGTCCATCATTGGAAGTGTGAATCCTCCGCTTAGCACTTATGACACAGTGGGGCTGTGGTTATTGACCAATCAAAGTGCAGTATTTTAAATAGTTTTTTAAGTCCTTCATTCGCTTGAGGTGGTAAAGGAAAACACAATCAATGCTAGGTGGTTAATTTGTATTAATATTATTTGATAATTAAATTTAGAACATTTCACACCATACAGCTACTGACAAAATATTAAAAGGAAACATCCATATCAGTCAGTATGTTTGTCATCATTGCAGAGACCTGCCAGACCCTGAGCAGGCAGAGGTGACAGTGGGAAGCCTCCATACTGGCTGCTCATGGTCCTCCACGCTGTGTTGGATGGGCACTGCTGCTGAGCTAGAAGCTGTTTCCTTGTGTCTCTCCTCTTGTTACAGAGCAGGTAGATCATCTCAATGATGTTGAGGAGCACCGAAATTCCTGAAACTGCAAGCATGAAGATGATGAAGATTGTCTTCTCTGTAGGACGAGAAATGTAACACTGGGCACCGCTGTAACGGGCACAAGGTGGAGACATAGTACAGTGAAAGTAGGAGACCATGTTCATGGGGCCAAATATGTAGAACTGGCCCACACCGAATCCCACCTCCAGGAAGATCTTAAAGACCAGCTGGGTCATGTAAGTGCAAAAGAGGATGCCTTTTATCTTCACCTTCCCTCTGTCATCTGTATACTTTGGCTTCCTCATTAAAGTTATGTTAGTGCTGTCCTGCAGCTGCTCCATCATCCTCTTCTCTTTGTGGATGATGTGGACAGCATGACCCAGGTAGACCAGGGTTGGGGTGGCCACAAAAGTGATTTGTAGGACCCAGTAATGAATGTAGGACATTGGGAACATCCAGTTGTAGCAGGCATGTTGACATCCTGGTTCCAAGCTGTCACAGTAGAACTCTGACACTTCATCTCCCCAGACTTTGTCCGCAGCAGCACCCAGGACAAAGATCCTGAAGAGGAAGAGGACACTCATCCAGATTTTACCCACCACAGTGGAGTGAGATTGAACCCTGTCTAGTAGTGAGGAAAGGTAAGACCAGTCACCCATGGCTGGATACAAATGTCTGAAGTAGAGAAGAAACAACACATTTAACTCAAAGTTCCGGGTTGAAAAATAAATGTGACTAGTACAAAGATGAAGAATTATAATATTCTATATATCTTATATAGCAAGGTGTTTTGCTAAGATAAATCATTGTCTGCATAAAACAAAAATAACTCTAGTTCTGTTTAAGGGCAAGACAATAGTAAAACAATAGTAGTCTACAACAGGTTCGCCTAAAATTTTTTATTAATAATCAGAACTGAATCCTTTAAACTTCCTTATCTACTTGTATGAAGCCACACTAATCAAACTTTTAGGAGAAAACTTCAAAACATTTTCAATTAAATTCAATTCAATTTTATTTGTATAGCGCCAATTCATAACAGAAGTTATCTCAGGAAACTTTTCAAATAGAGCAGGTCTAGACCAAACTCTTTAAAACATTATTTACAGAGACCCAACAGTACCACCATGAGCAAGCACTAGAGACAGACAGACAGACAGACAGACAGACAGACAGACAGACAGACAGACAGACAGGTGCACAGCAACAACAGTATTGGCTTTAAAGCTGGTCATGTGATTAATCACATACAGTTTATGTCTCGTGGTAGACATCAGACACAAGGAGTCATGGACATATATCTGCAATATTGTTAATTTGTTTAATCTAGTGTCACACTGACAACAACAGACAAAAAAGATGGCATGGCGTGGAAAGAGGGTGTTAACAAAGTCAATGATATTCTTTCTATAGAAATACAGTATAATTTATAGACACAAGCTTGTCATAAAAACAATTTACTATATATAATATGTTGAGGTGGTAATGTGGAATTATGACTGATTTGTCTCAAATAAACACTGAAATACTGTGACACAATAACGTGTTAATTAACGTGAATGTTTTAATTCAAGGAAACATAAAATGTACTTGCCTGTCAGGCTTCAGATATTATATATTCTTTTCCATGAGCCCATCTCAGTAGAGCCAGAATGTGTGCAACAAAAGACATGATACAGTGACCAGGATGATACTTAAATACTGTTGAGTCCTGTGGGTTTGGTCTTACTGACATTTCAGTCTGCCGCTCACAGCTTCTCCTTTCAGTCAGACAAACTCGTGAGGATTTTGATGAGTCTGATGAAATGTTTCATCACTCTCAGTTCCTGTAAAGGAAACCTCGTTGACCTGAAACACTCATATTTTGCCTTACCTCCCAGTTTGATGAAAATGTGTCATGTGTTACACCCAAATTGTTAAGCATGTATTCATTTCGTACCACACCCTGTTTATGTGAAATGTTAATGTACAGAAATTAGTCTTATTAGTTTGCCCAGTCTTCTGAGGTCAAAAAGTATACTTCATTGTGTCAAATCTTTTACAATTACTGCCGGGAGGTCAGAGATTACTTAAATAATGGAGTATAATAAATAACACAAAAGATGTTAATTCCACTCAAAATGTTCACATTTAATTCCATATCAGTAGCGGTATACACTACTTTTGAGGCAGGTGTCTCTTGAAATCACAAAGCATGCCAGTGATTAAAGGTCACTGGCTCCCTTTGTAATGATTAAAGGTCCCTTACAAAGGGAGCGGGTCTTCCGCAACACAATCCGCCATTTTGAAACACCATGTTTCTACAGTAGCCCAGAACAGACAAACCACCACTTGACAAAGAGTTTTTAGCAACTTTAACGCTACATGCCGCTAAATCTTACACACTGGACTTTAATATGACAATGATAATCTCTTCATGTACAGAAAAATAACCTACTGCTCAATGTCTTTGATTGCTGGAGTCACTGACAGGAGTTGGACTACTCTCTTTTGACTCGTTTGTAGCAGTAATATGTTTGTGAAAATATTAAAGGAGAGAAATAGGCAATGTAGTATGTAGTAACATAATCTTGATTTATATTTGATCAGTAGGGGAGAGTGGGGTAAGATGAGCCATTTTTCATATTTAGGATCACTACATCAAGGCAACCATAGTTTTGTCGCTAACTAATATATCTGCATATATTTCAGGATATTGTGCATCCCTTCAAACAAACAGAATGAGTATAACCGTAACTGTTTTGATAATATAGCATGTCCAAAAAAAGTGGTCCCGTGTATGGGGTAAATTGAGCATAGGAGCGGGGTAAGTTGAGCCGTATGCTTTTATGCTAGGTTTATGACCTCATGTTGTAGCTCATAGATACCACAATTGATGTATAAAACAAATGTAAAATTATCTATTTTGGTCTAAACACAATTCTCATGAAACTTATGATAGACTAAATTCAGTGAAAAATGATTTTTTTGGAAATAAATATCTAACCACTTTACCCATGTGGTTCTTACATTCACAGACTCCATGAAATGAAGCCTTCCTCCTAAATATTTGGTCACATGAGCAATGTTTTTTTACCATTTCCTAGCAACAAGGGGTGGCTCAACTTACCCTTTGGCTCAATTTAACCCACTCTCCCCTACTGCCTAGTTTGACAGTTTGATCTGAGAATGATTTGTAAGTCACGCCCTCCAGCATACTCTGCGTTAAGACAGTGGTTTACTCTAAAGGACCATAATCTACAAAATGAACATCATGCTGTATGGAGGAAAACTTGAAACTAGAGATTGACCATAACCATAACACATGACCATTGACCATAAACTCATTAGCAACTATTAACTATTAACTATTTACTTAGCTAATAAATCATATAAGAAGAACAGTCATTATTTCTTTATTTATAAATGTACATGCTATCTGTCTTTTATTTATATTGCAGCCAATAAAATATACAATGGTGTCAATGGAAGACACACACCCCCATTTACATCAGTGGCGCTGCAGTGGAGCAGGTGAACAGTTTTAGGTACCTGGGAATAAACGTCACAGAGAACCCGTCCTCTACAACTTCTACATAGGCTGAGCAAGGACAGAAACAACTGTATTTCTTAAGAAACTTAAAGGGTAAATGTACTGTACTTATATAGCGCTTTTCTAGTCTTTCGACCTGTACACCACATGCCACACTCACCCATCCATACACTGATGGCAGCGGCATGCAATGTGCCAACTGCTCATCAGAAAGAAAACTAATACACATACATACACACAGCATCAGGTGGAATTTGGGGTTCAGTGTTTTGCTGAAGGACACTTTGACAAGGAAAACCCACTACAGAAGCTTCCTCTGCTGTACCACCAGACTTAAAGACAGCTTCTTCCCTCAGGAAATTAATTCTAAGAAATTGCTAAAATATATATATATATATATATATATATATATATATATATTTGTGTTATTAATCAATTGTATTGAATATAATTAAACTGAATTTCATACAACCCTGCATTGTAAAATGACGACGGAGCAGTATTTGATAACTTGCAAGTTATAACAGGATGAAAAAAGCAGGATCCATTTTAAGGATCCATTTTAAGGCCCCCTATGATGTCGGTATTTTTTTGGCAATACCAAAAACCAACTAATGAATCCAGCCTTGGCTACAGTCTTTTGGAGCTGCTTACATATCAGCACATAGCTCACGGTTGCGTGAGGAGTGTGGGTTAGTCATTTATATTGGAACAGCTGATCTTGTGTCAGTTCTTGTCAGCAGTAGCTGTCAATTCAGAAGTCCATTTCAACACTACTGAGTGACTTACGGTCATGTCGTTTGGGTGTGTGGGTGGGTCAGTCAGACATGGAATCTGATGATTCTGCAATCTTAGCCTGAATAATAAAAAGGAAGTGAAATAATTCTGGTCACAGTACAGGGACAGACTGAACAAGGCAGTGGTCATACTGAGGTAGGAACAGTTATTACTGTATGAAGAGTTTATTATTGCAAAATACAATATCAGTTATTAATCAGGTAAAATATGATAACCATGATGGAGAATTTAACTTGTTTATATTTTACAAACCTGAGGAATGGAAGTTTGATTAATCAGCAGTCCTAGACAACAAAATATATAGTGTATGTATGTATATATTATAAAATCTCAATAACACACCTGAGAAATGTGTCTAAATGTGTCTTTAACTAGAGGCATCCTGATATGGTCTAAATGTGATATCAGATACTATTTGAAATCTATCTCATCTATGGGATGCAAAAAATCTGGCAGATCCCATCAAGTAATATTAGCATTGGTGTTGGTGAATGAATAAAAATTACAAATAAATAATTTAGTGGCATCATACATTATGAAAAAATAATTTTTTAAACAAATGCACATGAATCACATATAAAATCTTTGTATCCTATTATTCTTCTATCTATAATACTGGTGTTGATTTTTTTTATTAGGTAACCCCTGAGCAACACTTGAAATGTGTTTTAATATTGTCTGTTGTAACCTATTCGAAAACTAGAATTCTGTATTAGATTTGTTTCTGAGAACATTTTCTCAAAGCTGCACATGCTCTCCAGTCTCTGCATTGACTTTTACTGTCAAGTCAGTCCATATTACATAATGGTTTCACTATGAAAAATACAGATCTCTGAAGTCTTTCTGCTCTGCAACATTTCCTACAATTTAAACTACAGCAACAGGTCCTCATACTGAAACAGCAAAAAAGGTCATTGTTCAGTGTGTGTTGCAAACTAGCCATGTGACTGTTCCACTCATGACCTGTCATCTCTATGGTTAAGACTGCTGAATTCAAGTATGTATCTCCATCTTTGGTGCAATCTGTGGTGCGAGTTCACCTTTGTTTAACTTTGCCTGTGTGTGTGTGCACAGCCAGCTGCTACAAACACTGATGCACTGTGTATAAGGCTGGATTAAGGCTGTGCTATTGTGGTTTGGTCATTTAATTGACCACAAATTTCTTTGAGAATGTGCACCGCTATAGCACTGTATGTACCATTAACCTGCAGTGCTTTCTTTGAACTCTGAAATCTGCAGTAACTTTTATAAAAGTAACTTGTTGTCATATTTGCAGAAACTTTCACCATATCCTGACAGTACTGCATGAAAAAAATCTGGTTCCTCTGGCTCCTCCTAGTGCTTGTAATGGCATTTGCATGAATCCATCTGGCCTGAAGGAAAACAATCAATCAGAGCCAAGAAAGATAGTTGAAAGTTACTTTTTAGTTACTTTTTATTAAATTATATATATACACATACATATATATATATATATATATATATGTGTGCACTATATTCTATAATATGCACTATAATAATAATAATAATAATAATAATAATAATAATAAAAGTAATAATGGTTATACAAAATAATCTGGCACATCTGCCCTGATCAAATAATAGCATTTTACCTATGTGAATCTTAAAATGTACATTACATCAACCTGTCTGTTCATACATAAATGTGGACTGATCATTGTATTGCTGCTGTACATCATTTTCTTGAAATTCTGACATTTCTTATCTCAATGTTTGCTAGGTCCTGGGTCAACTGTATATTCATCACTGGTTTATTTCTCTTCTCTCTAGTAGACTGTGATCATGGGGGAGTGGTCCTTCCTGTCTGCTCTGTTGGACAAGGTGCAGTCACACTCCACTGTAGTGGGGAAGGTCTGGATGACTGTTCTTTTCCTCTTCAGGATCTTCATCCTGGCTGCTGGCATAGATAAAATATGGGGAGATGAACAATCAAACATGGACTGTAACACCAAAAGTCCTGGCTGCAAGAACGCATGCTACAACCAGTCCTTCCCCATATCTCACACACGCTTCTGGGTCCTCCAGATCCTCTTCGTCTCCACACCGACACTCATCTATCTAGGCCACGTCCTGCTGGTGATTCGCAGAGAAAACAAGCTGAGGAGACGTGTGGAGCAGAAACTTAGTAAGAATGGGATGATCAAAGCTCCAAAATATTCAGATGAACATGGCAAAGTTCAGCTCAAGGGCATTCTGCTGGTCAGCTACATGATGCAGCTGCTGTTCAAGATCCTGCTTGAATTGGCATTCCTTGTAGGCCAGTATTACCTCTATGGCTTCCTATTTATGCCCAGTAAAATTACGTTTTCTGAATACCCCTGTCAGACACCAGTAGACTGCTTTATAAGTCGTCCAACAGAGAAAACCATCTTTATTCTCTTTATGATGGCAATGGCCATCCTCTCTGTGATCCTGAACATAGTGGAGATGTTTCACCTGATGATCTCAAAGATGATGGAGAAGAAAAGGAGGAACAGTGGCTCCATTCCCCCAGATATGTACAGTCTCAACAAACCAAACCACAATTCAACTGAGAGAGTTACACTTTGTTGAAGGACTGTCAGCACAGATCAGCTTTGAGATGGATCATGAGCCAGTCTGTGCAGGACCTTGCTTGTTACTCAATAAATATTGACAGAACTATGTCACATCCAGTTTAAAATTGTCAGAGTACGATAGCCATCTTGTGTACCAAAAGTAACACATTATATTTTTTACTTTTTATTTCATGTAAATAATTCAGGTCAGTGGTAAGTAGCAGGATATATTGTATTCTATCCTGCTACTTACTATTTGGAATTATATAAAAGCGGTCAGTGTAAACAGGTCTTCATCTGATCTAAGGACTATTAAATGTGGAGAACTTTAACTGACTTCTGAGTTTACAGTTAAAGCAGGAGAATATTTAAATACCAGTAAAAAAAATAGTGTTACATATTTCAAGTTGAATTAGATCAATAACTGTCTGGTGAGTTAGTTCTTTCGATACGAAATGAAACAAAGGATAGCATTTATAGCAAGGCGAGTCACATTCTCTCACACTCTTTTTTTTTTTATCTCTACATAGTGTGGCTGAAGCTCTGGTTCAGGGTCACTTACATTTTGAGTCTGACCATTACAGAAACAGTTGAGTAGATTTATATTGTTTCATTTTAATAGTTTCTTTCCTTAAAACGCAACTCTTTATTTTAGTACTGATTTTTAATCATGAAATACATTTTAAAAAGCAAAGTGGAGCATGCACTTGTTCAGTGCACAGTACAGGAGCTGGCCATCAGAATTATTCACAGGGGTCAAAGCTGAAGTACATGATCACACTCTTTAAACTGCTTTTTACCACAGGCATGAATCACTGTTATGACATTAAACACTGATTATCAGACATTTAATTATGAACAGTCTTTCATTAAGACAATCTTTGTGGCTTTGCTTTTAGAGGTGTCCACACTTTTTATGCCAGGGGCCACACAAGTAAGTTAATCAAGAGTCTACACCTGTACAGCTGAAAGTACAAAAAGATTTTTGTGTCACTATTAAATAGAAAAAGTCTCCTAATGTGAATAGGAAAGCAGGGCCTTGGATTGAAGAATTGTTGTCAGGTCAGATGCAAGTCTTGTGGAGATTCAAAGTACATCGGGGAAGGCTATCAGTCATTTTGGAAAATTTTAACAAATTAAGCAGGGTAAATTTAAATCTTAAAACAATTCACAGGTCTTGTAATTTAAGTCATTGGGCAGCACATGGCGGACTGGCAGTAATGTGGACATGCCTGTATAGAATCCAATGATTTACATGTTTTCAGAGTGTATTAACTTAATTTGAAATCACCTATTTTGTTATAATGCTGCATTTTGTATTGGTGAGTATTTAATAACTGTATGATGGATGATGTGTTTCATTTTCCTGCTAAATTAATTTCTTATCATTTTGCTCTGTCATGTTCATTGATGTTTCAGGGTGAAGGTGCACAGATGCAAAAGTAAAGATTTCATAAGCTTTTTATTGGACTGACTGTAGATTTCATTGCTGTCCTGTAAAAAGTTAACTTTAGTTTGTTAGTGTACATTTTAACACCTTTAATTATGCAGTTCTACATTAAACTGCCTTTATTTATCCACTTAAAGAAAAATATTTTAATTACTAATGATTTTCATCAGTGTAATAGAGTTGGCTAAGTCGCCATTTGTCTTAAAGTATACAACTTCAGGTGTCCTGAGATAACGTTTGCTATGAATTAGCGCTATACAAATAAAATTGAATTGAAAATTGAATTGAATTCCATTATCGCAGAGTACATGAGGGGATATGGTTTGTTTCTGGCAACGAATGTGAATGGTCGGCCTGATATTCATCTGGTCAGCCACTAACTCCAGGTGGGTGACCTTTGACCTGTTGATGCTTACAGTTATAAAAAGGATAAAGCAAAAGTCCTGTAAATCTAATATTGCCCAACAGCTGTCCTGTTTTGTTGATTTGCAACATGCTTGCTCATAGTGGGCTAATACAACCAGAGAAACAGTATTAAAATAATAATAAAGCTTATAAACCCAAGCTTATAATAAACATGAAAGCAGGTTTGACAACCATCTGATCTGAAACAGCATTCCACTGTGAAGCTATGTTGCCTGACAGACAAATGAATGTAGTGGATTAGAAAGCTACTGATAAACAGTCCACTTTTAAAAGTGAGATGTCAATGCCTGTGAATACTCCAGTACGACTCAAACCAGCATATCAATAAGAACACAGAACAAAGAATAATTGAAGGCAACAAAATATATCACAGTAATATTTTGTTGGCTTTATTGATTTTCAAAGCGGATGTGAAACTAATGAAACTCAGTGGCTTGTGGGTGGTAAGAAATAAATCCAAAGACACTGGCCGCATTCACATTTTCCACACAGTTGGTCATTAATGTAAGGATACAAAGTAAGTGTACTGTATAATAATATCATGGGAGTGGATGTAGGTGCCAAGGAAAATGTTGTATTGGCTGTATTGACACTAATGGAGTATAGGCCTAAAAGTGCTGTGGTTAAAAAACATCTGTCAGCTTTTATTATTAATTCATAATTCCATTGCTCTGACTGGCAAATGAGGAAGCAAAAAAAACCAAAAAAAAAACCACCTGAACCAATTTAGTTTTTTATTCTCAAGCTACGGAAGGTAACTAAATCAAACATTAAATTGATGTACCCCATGGAAAAATGTGATATGACGTACATTATTGTGGTTTTTCACCCCCACACACAAAGTGACAGTTCTTCATAATTCTTCATATTTTGGCTTTCTTTGAAACCTCTTGGTCCCAGTCAGTTTCAAGGACATCATTACTTAACTCAACAGAGCCAAACAGAGACAGCCCTGAGAACAGACCCTTTGAGCCACCAACACTACTAGGTGGAGTGCCTATTTCAAAACTCTTTCTCTTCTTCAGATTTACAGTACTTTGGTAGTCAGGACCATCATCAGCATAAGTAGGTTCTTTCTGATTTTCTTTGCACCTTGTTTTAGTTGGTAACTCTGTCCCTTGTTCGTGTTTTTGTCCTTGTGTGAGCTCAGTGGTTGGGGGTGTTAATGTGTCCCTTACTTTGCCCATGATCTTCTTTCCCAAGGGACTGTATTCGGGGGAATTTAGAGTTTTTTTGTCTTTAGAATTCCCTCTCAAGCATTCAGCACTATCTCTTTTAAGGGGACTTTCTTCCACTCCAGTAGGAGGATTTTTTTCCACTCTCATCTGAGTTGTGGTCGTGGGTTCAGCTGTGCAGGTGAATGTGAATACTGAGAGTTTAGCCAGGGTTGAGGAGGCTACAGTGGACTTGGTGTGGCCTGATTTGGATGGTGCTGAACCATAAACCCAAGTGCTTGGTTTTAAAGGTGGGGTGCAAGTAGAGCTAACTACTTTACTCTCATAACCGGTGTTGACTCTATGTTGTAGACAGAGATTTTCGGTATCATCCATCCCCTTTATTCTACCTACAGTTTCCCCATGTCCCCATTTGCGCTTTCCAAAGGATAAAACATTCTTACCCAGCTCTTTTGATGTAGAACAAATACTGGCTTCAGACCTACTGTCTCCAACCTCACAGACACAGCTCACCTGGTTTCTCATGCTTACACCTTCAGAAGTAATTATGTTCTGGTCCTGGTTATTCTGTCTCCTATTCTTCTCTGTGTCTGTAACTGTTTCTGGCTTCTGTTTACTGATTCTGCCTTCTGTGTGAGCATGAAAATATCTGCTCCCTGGGTTACATCCAGGTTGGAACACTGCGCTGAAATCTGAGTTGGCAGTGTGGCTGAGGACTAAAGGTCTCATCTTCCTTGGTTTGAATTTAAAGCCTGAAAACTTTTCATGCAATTCTTTACATGTTCCCGCTTCAGCTTCCATCTTTTCGCTTAGCACAGCACTAATGTTCTTAATACCAGTCCGATCCTTATTGTCTTCCTTAGCAAATGTACTTTCTTTGCCAGAAGAAAGGTTATCCTGAACTAGGATATTGGGGGGGTGGTGCTTACCTGATGACAGTGTGCTGCTAGTGTGGGATTTTGTAACATTTTTACAAACAAACTCCACCGTTTCTCTATGTTCTCCTTCTCCCTTTTTGTCACACTGCTGATTATTCAGCTCCAGCTCCCAGAGTCTTCTTCCTCTCAGATTCTTAGAGACTTTCTGAAACACACACCCCAATGACTCTGGATGTTTTGTATCTTTCTGTCTCTCAGGTTGCTTTATCCCCTCTTGGGTTACAGAGGTTTTTTCTTTGTTTTCATTTTCGCTTTTTTGGTTTTCTTCTTCTAAAGCAGAGGTAATTGTTCCAAACTGATTTGAAACTACATCATGATTTAAGGTTGAGCCAATGTTACTTGAAATGTCCTTCTCAGTTTGACCGTTTGGCTGTTTGGTTACTGTAGACATTTCTGACCAACTGGAGTTTGGTTTTCTATTTTGGTTTTCTTGAGTAGAAGTAATTATGGGTGAGACCATACCATCTGGCAACAGTGATGGAGTGATGGAGATAAACCAGTCCAAGCCATCATCCTTGTAGTTACTGGTGATGTCATGGTGATGTGTTTCGTCCATGGAATTTGTGTCGCTGAGTTGATGCTGGTAATTATGAGTTGGTGGGGAGGACTCTGAGGTGTTGCTCTTTAACCTAGTGAAAAAAAAAATGCAGGTGAACTCTTTTTTGATGAAAACTCTCCATGGTCATCCAAACACTACTTAGACATAACTCATTTTCCACTTGCCACCCTTTTTCGCCTCTGAAAGCCTCCCAATCAGAGGCAAATTGGGACTCACTTTCGTGAGGACGATCGCAAGATATTTAATCAATTGTGAAGGTGTATGAATGAGTTAGTTTCTGTTTGATGGACTTTGCAATCACTGTGTGAATGTGTGAAAGGGTGAATGTGGCACTTAGTGTAAAAGCAGTCCGAAGACTAGAAAGGCGCTATACAGGTGTATAGGTTAGTGTATGTATGATAAGTAGTAGTCTGATGTTGACTTCTGTTTGTTATTAGCTGGATTAATGATTTAATAATGCATGTATTGAATATGACTAATTAAACATGATGTGCTTGTTATTAATGACTCCTGATGAAACATAGTTCTGGGACCAGGCAGACTCCATCTGTTCAACGGCAGAGTTTGATCAGGCTACAGGCTGGGATGAGGAAGTTGTCAGATAGGAATGCTCATTGACAGCTTTGATTTCTTTGTGATTTCTTGACAATAATAAGAAAAAAACAAAAGCCACATCATTTAAGCAATGCAATGTGCATATCAATCACTAGCACTATAACTGGGATTCAACAAATGGAAAAAGCAGTCGGTTACCTGGCCAGTCTGTCCATCTCTTTCTGAAGTAACAGTGGCAGGTTCAGTCCTTCCAGCAGTATCCGACACTGGGTTTGGTACTGCTTACTGGGGTCAGCAGGGAATGAGGTGAGTAATGTATTTACATTTCCCAGCAGAGCGCCACCCTGAAACGGTAAATGGATTGTACTTATATAGCGCCTTTCTAGTCTTTCCGACCACTCAAAGCGCTTTACACTATATGCCACATTCACACACACATTCACACGCCGATGACACAGCATCAGGAGCAATTTGGGGTTCATTTTGTTAGAATTGTTTATTAATATTTTTGACCATATTGAACAGTTACTGGACTTTTAAATAGCTATATAATAATAGCGTACATTCAAACTGCATAAAACACAAAAAACACAAATGCTCTGACCTAAAGACATAACTCTCAGAGAGGGACGAAAACACAGAGGGATGATGGAAAGCACGAGGGAGAGTGTGTTAATGACTCTGGCACTCTCAGATCCAATGTTACAGTAAATGCAGAAAAATCTGTTAATATCCTGTTTAAACAGAGCATCTACGTCCCGTGTCCAAATTGAACTAAATTTGACCTGAACTTTGTTGGGTCTTCAGATATACACCTGCCAACAACAAAGTCAACAGGATGGTGATACAGTGATAAAATAAGCTGTGGCGTTTCCAGTCTTTGCTGGCACACATTTACAGCAAACTTTACAACATAATTCACCAAACTGATTCATGTTGAACTTTTTTTTCACCAAATCAATGCCATCTTGTTGCTTTTTTTTTTACTTCAAGGGTGTTGTGGCAGTTGAACTGTGAAGGAACCTTCATCCCCTCTGTCTCAACAGATTTTTTAAACAAAAACAATAGCAACTGATGCATTTAGCTCATCTCAGCCAACACCGCTGTCCTTTTTTTTTCTTTGGAAAGCAGCTGTCCTTCCACAAAAGGCTGTCATGTTACTGATTAATAATAACAGTTTCAATGATGTGACTGGTCTGCATCATCAATCACTATACTCAACATAATTATTATTTTTTGTAATTATTCATTATTATTATTATTATTTTAGTCATATTATTATAATCATTATTATTCATCATTCACCGTCATTATGGCTGTTGTCGTTGTCATCATCATCATCATTAGGCATTACTAGTATAATTGTTACTGTCTTTCTCTCTTTACCCTACACCGCCACCCCCCCTAAGGCAGAGGAACCTGATCTTTTCACAGATCATCTGTCTCATGTACTACTGTCAGGAAACAGTGAAAGTTTCAGTAAATGTTACAAAAGGTTTTTTTCATAAAAGTTACCTACTGCAGCTTTAAGTATACAGTATATTTTGTGTGCATTGACTAGCTCCTTGTCATTGTCTAATGAAAACTAAAAATTGTTCCGTAATGGACGATCACGCAGCAATGTGTAAAAGAAACAGTTGCAAACAAGAAACAAACAAAAATACATTACTCAAAAAGACATTATAGATCATTATTAATGTTGCAAAGTATGTCATTTTGGTTTCTCCTTACCTGCATGGAGCACTCCATGACACAGACAGCCATAACAGCATCCTCTATGGTCACGGTCTCTCTGTACATGAGCCTGGCATGGGCTGTAAGGTTAAAAACAATCCAGGGTGAGTGGTACAGTTCTGCTGGTTTCAGCTATGAGCGTGATGAGTGTGAACTGTAAAATGTATTATGTATATATGTGTTAATTTCGTTAATGAAAACTATGACGTCAACAACCTTTCTTAGGCTAAGGCCAGACGTTGATAATGTTAGTGGTGGGTTACCATATTTAAAAAATAATAATAATAATTTTAAAAAAAATTCATGATATTTTCCCCCAATAAGTAAAGGACACCATCTAACCCTGGGCCTACTAAAAATATTAATGATTACATTGAAAATTGACCCTGAGCTGTTTACTGGCAAAAATCACAGGTCAGATGATCTGAGCTATTGTTAATTATTATTATCATTAAATAGACAGCAGCAAAAATTTAGAAAAAAATAATGCCATTTAGATCATGGATCCTGATTGCAATTAAATTGATATTATCTTTTGGCCAGATTAAGTTCCCAATACCTATGCCATTATTATTATTTTTTTTTTTATTTGAACAGGGACAGTGCACAATAAAACAGTAACCCTGTATATGACAAGGAAAGATGCATTGCACCGGGTTTTAGCAAGTTGCTATTTTCCACCCGTAGTCCCTGGGCAGGTACATGGAACATACAATAAATTAAAAACAGTTACTAAATTCACTAGTGTGTGATTGTGTGTGTGAATGGGTGAGCATAGAGTCATTGTGGGGCACTTTGGATAGGAAGCATTCTATTGGTCCTGATGAGCAGGTTGGGGACTTGCAGGGCAGCCTTTGCCATTAGTGTTGGGTAAATGTTAGATTGTGTTGTGTGCTTTGAGTGGTCAGGCAAGGTTAGGGGTTAGATATATAAATACAGTCCATTACCATTTACTATTGTTGGTGGTTTAAAGTGCAACCAGATGCTTCATTTCTGCTAGTTCCCTCCCTATCAACAAATTTAAAAAAATTTACCTTTTTTGAAACTTTTTATTTTGTATATTTTGTTGCTTCTTCTTTGCTGCGGTGTCCTGGGGTGTGGGCATCAAGGCAAAGGACGCCAACAGACTAAACAAACTCATTAAGAAGGCCGAGTCTGTTGTTGGCTCTAAGCTTGTCACCCTGGAGGAGGTGGTGGAGGAGAGGATGCTGGCAAAACTGCTGGCAATCATGGACAATCCCTCCAACCCCCTCCACACAACACTGGACAAGCTAAAGAGCAGCTTCAGCAACAGACTCATTCATCCCCGCTGCTCTAAGGAACGATATAGAAAATCGTTCCTCCCCACTGCAATAAGACTTTCTAATAATATCTGACTCTTAATCAGCTGCTATAACATTATAATTTCCCTTCGGGGATAAATAAAGTATTTCTATACATCTATAAACACGTAACAGTGTTGTTTCCTGAACCAGACAGCAATCGTACTATGTTCCTGAGTCGGACACTTCAAACCGTACATAAGTCCAAGTAATTTATACATTTTACAGTCTTCATGTGGATTTTCTTACACTACATTAACTTTTATGTCTAATTATTATACGAAAGTTACTTTAATGAGAGAAAGTCGCAAGAATGCTTAGATTGCACTTGGGCGACGAATAGAGCGTTGTAGAAACTCAATTTTGCTCTTACGTTTCTGTAGAAGAACAGAGAAGGAAAGAAAGAAAGAAGAGAGAGAGAGAGAGAGAGAGAGAGAGAGAGAGAGAGAGAAGAGACAAAGTGAAGAAAGGCAGAAAAAAGACAGAAGTGCAGAAAGAAGGGAAGAAGACAGGAGACAGAAGTAGATAGGAAAGAGACAGGAAGAAAGGTAGATAAGGGGTGTGGGTGTGTGTATAAGAGAGAAATTAGTTTTTATTCCTTTAGAGGTGCATCAAATGGTTTAAAAAAAAAGGTGGATTTAGAAATTGAAATGCTGCTTTGGTTTGAGGTAAATATATTTGTGTGTATGCATTTGGTAAATACATCTATACGTGTTAAAGGGACACTTCACCCATTTGCATTAAGCTTTGTATCATTAGAACCCCAGTCATATTTTTGAATGGTTGTGCATCATTCCCTCACTTTTCCTGAGGGGAGAAATACAGATTTTAGTGTTGCACTTCCTGCTTCCAATGATGTAAAAATTGTCATTTTGCGTCATTGGAAGCAGGAAGTCTCATATCTCTGTAGAGGGGGTGAGACTACAAACACTACTTCCTCATTTTTTTTTCACTCACGCTACAGACCTATTACAGATCAGTGGGTGGGACTTCACTTGCAGAAACTAAAAAATATAACCGCCTTGTTTGGAAGCTAAGCGGAGGCGCTGGCGAGCCAGATGTTACGACTATGTTAATCAATGTAATATGGAAGACATTTTGAAAGTATGATGGTCGAATCAGATGTTCGTGGCTACCTTTATGAGCTGCAATATAGCGAAGAGTTGCATTGCTAACTACTGTGGCACGCTAAACAGAAAGACCATGCATCGCTAACTGTGTGCTCAATGTCTTGTAGACAATACCGCCTAACAGCCTTTCTGGAATGGGTCCTGCAAGGCGAGAGATTGGGTCGAGGCGTCGTTTTACCCGCTTATGTGGTGCAGGCTATCCGACAGAAATATCCAGCTCCAGATGGCCAGTACTGCGGCACCAAGGAGTTGAGGACGCTCAGGAGGAACTATAACTGTCATTGTTAACATATTTCTTTTTGTTGTTGTTGATATATTTCTGTAAATAAATGGTTTACATTCACCTTGTTGTAGTCCTTGATAGTGTTAGTGGGAGTGGCTTGCGGAGCTGTGCAGTGTGGGAGTTGTTGTCTTTAATACAAATGCGCCCTAAAGTCACTTTCTGTCTTTTCTCAGTCAAATAGGCACCAAATTCAAAATGTATGTTACATTTCGACTACATATATAACCCACTTTCAATAAATATTAATGTTTCCACGGGTGAAATGCTCCTTTAATGTAACTTGAAATGTACCTATAAACCAGAATTTTACTTTCATTACTGACTGGAAAAAAATAATATGCCTTTTCAGATGCCTAACATCAGGCAAAGGAAGACAAGGAAGTGGACCCCATAGGCCATGGGACAGGCGATCCAGGAGGTACGGAGGGAGGGCGTCATTCCCCTTTGCACACTTCACACATCCTGCAGCCTCTGGATATGAGTTCCTTTGGACCCTGGAAGGCAGATCTCTCTGGTGTTACAGGAGGATCTGTCAGCAGTGAGCCACTCCTTCTGCTGTGCATTGGTGTATGAGTGTGTATGAATGTGTATGAATGATTAGTTTCCATTCTGGTGAGCAGTTGGCACCTTGCATGGCAGCCATTGCCATCAGTGTATGAATGTGTGTAAATGGGGTGAGTGTGGCATGTAGTGTACAGTGCATTGAGTGGTCGAAAGAATAGAAAGGCGCTATATAAGCACAGAACATTTACCATTTACCATTTCTTGGTTTGGAGGAAAATGGGTCGTTCCATTGTTCAGAAGAACAGCGTACTTAATTAAAAAGTTGATTGGAGAGGGGAAAACATTAAGAAGTGCAGAAATGATAGCCTGCTCAGCCAAAATGGTCTAAAATTCTTCCAAATGGAAACCAAAACCAGAAAGATGTGAAAGAAAATGAAAAACTACCATTCGAATGGATCGAAGAATCAGTCAATGACCAGCTCCAGGGAGATCAAAGAAGGTCTAAAGTTACATGTGAGTACTGTAACAATTAGAAGATGCCTATGTGAAGCCAAGCTATCAGCAAGAAGCCCCTGCAAAGTCCCATTCTTGCAAAAACTACATGTGCTGAAGAGGTTACGATTTGCCAAAGAACACGTTAACATTTTTTGGACTTATGAAAGCAGGATTGCTATATATCAGTATAACTATTAAACCCAGTCATGGAACAAGAAGTAAACACTTCAGTTTGAGTGGTGGGTCGTTTATCCACAGGGATATTAGGACGTTTACAACTATTTTACCCTGAGGAAAAGTCAGCTGGTGTCACTGATGTAGCTGATTTTGATGAAACTGGATGATATTTGATGGAGAGAATGTTTTCTAGTTTTCCCATTGATTTTGTTTTACTGCTGCTACACCTCAACTCTTAATGACAGTAAAGTAACTGCTGCAAAATGAAGCTGCTGTTAGCTTAGCTTAGCCGTACTGCCCGGGACCGGGTGCTCAGAGCACCGGGGGCTTGTTGTGTATACTAGCAGCACCTACGGTTTGGACCATAGGCTTTCAGGCCAGGTATGGGGGAGGAATGCTGAAGGAGAGCGGCGCTGGTTGTGCCAGAACCAGAGCCGAAAAAGCGTCATAGTCACAGAATTGGAGCTGGGCAGAGCAATGAAACCAGCTTCTACGGATATCGCTAAAGGCAGAGGAAAAGAGACGAAGGGGACGACGGAGGTAGCTAAGAAGAAAAAGGAGAGCAAAGCGAAGAGTAAAATGTGGGACTTGCTTTTGGTCGTTGGTGAGAGCTTGGTGAAATAAATGGCTGCAGACAGTGAGCTGGCATGCTTGCTGTTGGACTAGTAAGTAATATTAGCTGGTTTGCTATGTCTTTTGTTATGGTGTTTGGTTGGGTTAGAAAAAGTTGTTGACTCGATAGTTTTTGATCATAAGTAAAGTAATCATAACAAATGCACAGCTGTCCATATTTACAACAGTGGTATTACAACTGGAGGTGCCAATTTGCACAAATCTTATAGTAATAGTTTTGCTTTAAATAGATTCCATCCGACTTCTGGTCTGGCGGACTACGTGATGGCAGCATAGGGCGACAGGTCCCGATAATAATAATTAAAAGTTGCCCGATATAACTCGAATTTCAGTAGAGAGGCGCTAAAGCAAGGTTTGATATTACGGGTAAACAATGCCTAAAATAATGCCCCAAAAAGAAACACGCTAAAAGTAAAAACCTCGACGAAGAAGAGGATGATAAGCTATCGCAAACTAGCAGCAATATGGAGGAAGACGAGCACGTGGACACGGACTTTGTCCTAAGCCACGACGTACACCTAGGTGTTATTCTAAAA